CCTGCTGGTTTCAAGACGCCACTGTCCTCTGCTTTCCTATACTGTGCTGCCCACATCTGGAGTTCGGGTGTGTTTCACTCTGCCTTGCAGCAAGCCGCTAGTTTCCATGTCCCTCTCCTACACTGCGCTGAGAACAGACTTTACTCAGCTCTCTGTTTATCCCCAGCACACAGGAAGTATTCAGTAAGAGAACTAAAGTGAAGCACAATGAAATTGAAGCGCCCCTGTCAAACATTTTCTGCACAGGAAGTGCCGCCACCCACCCCACCAGGGTGGCACCAAACTAGTGCCACAGAAGTTCTGATAGCTGAGGGCATGGTCTTTCCAAAGGACTTAGAGGGACATCAGCAGCAATCGTCTTGTTGTTGGCATTGGTGTTTTCTTCCCTGGCTGGAGTTGTTGGAAAGTGTGGACAGCTCAGGGGAAGGGGCCCCACTGTTCTCCTAGGCTAGCTCTCGCTGAGCAGGGTGGATGCCTTTTGTTTTTCCTTTTTCAATTAAAAACTGAAAGTCTTACGGTGAAATTTTACTGATCCTTTGATCTACTACCCACCAGGGTATTGCCGGGGAGGGGCCTTTGGAGTTTTTCTAAGGGAACTCAATTTCTTCTAGAATGCCTGTTGTTTCTAGGGTGAGGATTTGTGGAATGTGTAAATAGAGTTGTGGGGAGGGTACAGGATAGGTAAAAGAAGGTCAGGGAGGGATGTAAGTCTTTCTTAAGGCGTCTTTTGGTTGCAAATACCAGAAATTCCATCAGGTTGTTTTAGGTCACAAAATGAATTTCCTTGTGGAATGAGAGATGCCTCATGGGCCCCAAGTGTGGACAATGTGGCCAGGCCCGAGAAACCAGCACGGGGAGCTGGAGACCCTCTCAGAGATGGGGTGTCTGGGACTGGGCAGATGCCCTTCTCAGGGCCAAGCGAAGGGCACCACAGGCTTTGGACTCATGCCGACAGGGTTTGAAACCCAGCTCTACCCTTATGAGCTGTGTGAACTTGGACCATTCACGACCTGTCTCGAAAGCCTCAATTTCCTCACATGAAAAGTAGATGCAATCCTGCCTACGACGTAAGGTTGTGGTGAGGGTTAAGTGGAATGATGCGTGAGGTGTCTCATGGTGCTGGCGCACTGTGGGCGTCCATAAATGCAAGCGGGTTCCCCTCCCACCTTGCACCCCCTTCCCCTGACAGGGCGTAAAGTGAACAGCGATGGGGAGGGAGTGCTGTGTTCCTTGGTTTTCCAGCCTCAGAAGCACTTACTCTTAAATAGGAAGTAGCTGGTGGAGAAGGAGAAATAAATGCTCCTGGGAGGTGGGGCCCCTCTCATTTCCTCTCTACTTTGTCCAGGAAGCTGAAGAGGGAACTGCCCCTTTCATTCCGATCAATCCAGAATGTGAAAGAAGAGCTGTATCTGGTGACAGAAACTCTGGAAACGACAAAGGAGGAAACCGTGGAAAGTGGAAAGTGATGTATTTTGAAGATCCTGATGGATTTTTTGAATCTCCAATATGAATACAAGGTTAGGATCCTGGGAGGCAGGGGCTGTGGGAGAGTCAGCCTTCGCTCATCCCTTGCAGGTCTGGGGGATGCCGGTCCAGACGCCAGGCTCTTCGACTCTTCCTTTCAACCTCTCTGAGGAGTCTTGCCTGCTCCTTGGCCTTCTCATGACTCTGGCACCCGCGCTTAGTGGCATCATAAGTTGCTCTCCTGTTACTCTCTAGTGATCCTCTGTTTTCATTTGCACCATAGCGCTTCCCACGGCTCATAATTACATGGTTGTGTTTGGCTTGTTCATTGCCTACCTCCCTTTCTAGGAGGCAGAAGACAGGAGCCACAATGCCTGGAACAAAACAGGCATATTTTGTCCTCAATAAGTATTTGTTGAATGAATTAGGAACCACATGAGTTTTGGGGTCAGATGCTGGTTTAAATGTCGGCTCTGCTGCTGTGAAAACAGGCTTATGTACTGACCCTCTCAGAGCCCAGGTTTTCTCATCTGTAAAACGAGGATGGGGAGTGGGTAGAGCTCAGTGGTAGAGTGCATGCTTAGCTTGTGAGGTCCCAGATTCATTCTCCAGTGCCTCCATTAAAAAAAAAAAAGGATAAAAAAGTCTACCTCCCAGGATTGTTTGGGAGATCAGGCAAGATAACTATGTCAAGCACCTATGGATTAATAAATGTGAGCGCCTTTTTCCTAGCACCAAATGGCAGTGACCATTTCCCCTAAGAAGGTCCTGGGCTATCGAATAAAGCAGCTGGTCTTCCCCAAGACGGAGACAATGAGTAAGCAAGGCCTGGGGTTGGGGGGCTGAGTACATGAGGTGGGTGGGGGTCAATTCCGCCAGGTTCTGTGTCAGCCTGGAGGGGCCCCGGGTGAGCTTGAAAGTGGGGGGAAGTTCCAGGGAAGAGGGAGGGTTCAGGACTGGGAAGAAGGATGGAGGGTCCTTGCTCAGAAACCACTGACCCAGGACTTGCCCCCCCATGACACTAATTCTTCTCTAGAGGTGTTAACTCCCATCTCTCTCCCAGTATTGTGTGTGTGTATGTGTGTGTGTGTGTGTGTGTGTGTGTGTGTGTGTGTGTGTGTGTTGGGGGCAGGGTGGGAAGACTGGGGAGAAGCTAGAAAGAAGAACTTACAGAGAGAGAACTGGACTTTGTGATAATTGGTCTTTCTCTGTCTCTTTTTTGACTGGTTTAGGTATTTTTTGGGGGGGGGCAAAACAAAATCCTTTCCAGAAGGTGAGTGAGCTTCTGGGCCCCTCTTCATTGTTCCAGAATGGGCAAGGATACTAGTTTAAAGAAGAGAATAACAAATGGCTTGGAATTATAGAGTTATGAGTGCTGAGATTGTAATAGGATGCGCCGAGCTGGGAACTGTGGTCAGGGCAGGAGAAGAGTCTGCCTCTTGGAATAGCAGGTTGGATTGCATGTTAGCCCAGGGTTTCCAGGCGCCGCTAACTTCGATTGGCTCTGTGCAGGTCAGTGTGCTGGATCCTGGGCTCACAGCCCCTACTGAAGGCTTGTTGGCCAAGGAAGCACAATTGAGTTGCCTGGCCAGTTCTCACATGACAGCACTAGCTGTGAAAGGAGCAATGGGCTGGGAGTTAGACGGTCTCAGGGCCGATCTAGTGCTGGCTGTGCTGCTTGCCAGCTCTGGAGCTTCCTGAGCCATGGTTATACTGACTTCAATATGAGCTAGGACTAGACTAGAAGATCCTGATGATTCTGAATGTGGCTTCCTCTGGAATTTCAGAGTCTTTCCCCGAATCCCATAAGGGTTGTACAGCCTAAGAGGTCTTGGGAAGGAGTAGGGAGAGATCTAGATGGGGTAGAAAATTCAAGAAAAATTTCTGGAAGTTGTAGAAGTTGCAGGTTCAGTCCTGGCAAGACCTGGCTAGCTCAAAAGAGTGCATCTCTGTCACTCCAAAGTTCTGTAACAGAGGAGTCAGGGGACAGATTCCAGTTTGTGCCCTGACCCAAATTTGCCGAGTGGCTGAGGGCGTGGTGCACCCTCTCTGGGCTTCCATTTCTCCTTCAATCATTCTAGGCCTAATCCTATGGCTGCCCATCTCTGAGATGTAGGAAAGGGTCTGCAAATATAGTGCTTTGTCACTGACACACAATGACGAGGATGCAGGCTCCCTGGCATTGGCCGTGAGGGCTCAGAGTCCAGAAATGAAAACTTCCACCACTGGGAAAAGAATGTCCACATTGAGGTGGAGGTGACCTGAAGACTCTATGAGATTAGTCTGAAGACTCTTCTTCCTCTCTTTGCAGCAAAAGATGGTGGTTCACCTTGGTTAGGTAAGGATGGGGGCCAGTTGTGTGCAGGGTAGCTGCACCCCTCACCCTTGGGTCCTGTGGCCGCAAGGAGTTCAGCTCAGGTGTGGCAGCTGAGTATGTGTGTGTGTGCCTGGTAGTGGGGTGTGTTGGGAGGAGAAGGGTTGGGCAGTGTCCAAAGTAGTTTTCAGCTTTAGTCTGGGGATTGCATCTGCCTCCCTAAACACTACAGTGATTCTCATTGGTTGTACGTAGACATCACCTGGGGGGAACTTTAAAACTAGTGATACCTGAGTCCCACCTCCAGAAATTCTGATTTAATTGATCCGGGGATGTGGCCTGATCTGGACATTGGGATTTTTAATCACTCCCCAAGTGAGTCTCATGCACTGTCAAGGCTGAGAACCAATGCTCTAATTTCCTCCAAATCTTCACTACTCCTACTGCTGTCCAGAGACTGTACTTTGAATGGCAAGGACTAAATAGGCTTTGATTTCCTGGAGGTGGAGAAGAATTTGGATTTGGTACTAGACTGAGGCTGAGCTGGGAAGGTGGATGTGGGGCCAGTGGGAGGCAATGATGATGGATGTCTAGGAAGAAAGATGCTTTGTTTTAACAGGAAAAGATTAGAAGAAGGGAAGATACAGAGAGGTGGTCTCCAGAATAAAGACAGAAAAATGGGGGCCTAGGTAATGGAGCTTGCTGGGCTGTGGGTTGGGTTCTTAATTTCTGCTTCTACAGGGAAGTCCTTGAATTTGGAGGATTTCAGAAACATGGAGGAGAAGGTGCAGGACATGATGAGAGCCCTCCAGGATCTGACTGAGGATGAGCGAAAAGAGGTGCTAAGCTGCCTCACTGAGCGCCTCAGCAGGGATGAACAGCTGCAGGATCTACAGCAAAGAGTAAGAGGCCCAAGGAAGGACTGGGGCAGAGGGAGAGAGGAGCCCGTGGGGAGGGCAGGTGACACACTGAAGACAGTCTGCTATCATGGGACTGGGCTCATCTCCCCTGTCCTGGCCCTAGGTGTCTGATGTCCTGAGGTCTGGTGAGCTACAGATAGAAGGCCCAGCATTTCTTTTCATAAGCAGCCTTTTTAATGCTGTTGGGATCTTGGTAGAAGTGCACACAGAAGCCATTTGGGATGTCCTGGATGCCATGACAGGTGAGGAAGGGTTTGGATGTGAGCTGACCTGGAGGAGACGCTGAGCAGAGGAGCCTGTGGGGCATCAAATCTTGGGAGGAAGGGGGTATACATTGCCTTTTACATTTTGTGAGGCATAGACCTTCACATTTCAGAAACTAGCCATCTTCCCCAGGCCAGGGATTGAGGGACTGCTTCCCCTTCCCTTCCCCAGGCTAAGAGGAAAGCAGGAGCCCATTTGGAATAACCCCCATCTGGCTCCCGGGGGCTCTCGGGAACCTCCTCTGATGCTTGTCCCAGGTCTGACCAGACAGTGAAGCCCTGTCCCATTACGTGCCTCTCCTCTCTGCCAGTCACCCTCTTTTTTGCCCCCAGAGCTGTCTGAGGAGTGGCAGCTTGTGGCTGAGGTCCTAGAGAAGGGGACCCTGCCCCTGTTGAAGAACAAGGTAAGACAGCCTGGGCTGAGGGCCCAAGTCCCACTGGAAGTGAATGCGCATGCTCTCAAGGGACCTAGGAACCAGCCTCTCTCTCCTTTATAATTCTGTCAGCTCCTGTCTGTGTAGCCGGTTTGTGGCAATTCCCTAGACATACAGTTTCTGGGACAATTAGGGATGTGCTTTTCAGGCTCTGTTGCTTGCCTGTGGGCAAGAGAGCGGGTGGAAAACTGTTAGTCCCGGGAGGGTGGCTGGCTCCACCTTGAGTGCCAACGCTGACTGATGAGCAGTGCCTGTCACTATGCTGAGGGTGTGAGGCTCGCTGGGCTCCGCAGGAGAGAGTGCCGTGATGGATAACTGTGTCTGCCGTGGGCTCAGGATTAAGGAGTGTGTCCACGTATGTGCCATTTCTAGTATATTTCCTTGTTCCTAGCTTTTACAGTCTGGTGGATTTCCTTCCAGGTGGAGTCTATCCTGAAGCAGGACTGGAGGGAGCAGCCCCAGAATATGGGCTGTGACCCCCAGGCACGAACTGTCTACGCCCTTTACATTGTTGTCTCCACCCTGCTGCAGCTGGGTGAGAAGCCTGACACTGGGTGTTCCTAACTCTGTGTTAGCTCTTCAACAATTCAACCAAGTCTCTGGGTGCTCCTTTCCCCAGTCCATCCTCACCATCCCCATTCCCAGGACCCTGGGCATGCTAAGCGTGTGCTCTACCACTTGAGCTATATCCTCCCCGGCCCAGAACAATGTCTTTAAAACAAGCCACTGGCTATTTTTGATACATCCTATTCACTGGGATACTGTCCAAAACTCAGCCTGGATTGTATGCATGTATTTCTGATTAAAAGTGGTAGATTGATCATATCAATTTCCTCTCCCTCTTGAAATCTCACTAAATGTCAATAAAGCATTGGAAAAGATACAAACCCACAAGGATAAAGAGCATTAGGCTGCAGATAAGGGATTTCAGTACATCTTTGGAAGCAGGAAAGCAATGAAAGGAGTGCAAGCTAGGAGGGGTGGGAGTGATGGGTGTGGAGGAGTGGAGGAGGAGACTGCTGGTTATCATCATAAGCCTTTTAGTTCTATTTAGTATTTAAGACAATCCAATTAAAAGTAAAAGAAATATATACTTGTTGTAAAGCATTTCAGGTATTTCTCATAGTCAAAGTCCCTTCTCCTTTTAATATAACCACTGTTAACATTTTGGGGTGTGTTAACGTCTTTTGTATGGAGCAGTTTTAAAAATGGTAATTCAAACATGAAGCTAGGATGATATAACAGAAATTTGTTTTTTATCTTTTGAACTAGAGTTTTTTTTTAATTCATAAAAATATTAGATGCAACAGGAACTCTTATAAGTGCTGTTGGAGCGTAGATTGGTCCACCACTTTGGAAAACTGTTTGACAGTATCTACTAAAGCTAAACATATGCCTGTGACTCAGCAACCGCACTTCCTGGGCCCATACCCAAGAGAAATGAGCGCACGTTTTTGCCAAAAGACATGCACGTACAAAAACGTTAAAATAAGAGCCCCAAGCTGGAAACTATTCAAGTGTCAATATCATTAGGATGGATACATATACTGTTGTATGCTTATGCAATAAAAGAGAACAAATTACACATAACAACATGCATGGCTCTCACAGTCATAATGCTGAGCAAATGAAGCCTACACAAAAACGTATATTTATATTCGGGTCCTGTGAGAAGTAGGTTCCAAAATGGAATCAGACATACAAGAGACTTTTTAGGGGAGAAGTCCATGAAGAATAAAGGGAGAGGGAGCACGAATGAGTGTGGCAAAATCACAATGCAGGTCTAAAACCTGTGAAAGAAGGGCAGGAGGGAAAGGTTGAGTAGGCAGTGTCCTGATGGCAGCGCAGTCTGAGGGCCTCAGCCAAGCCGACCTGAGCAAAGGTGGTCTGCCGGACTCCCCACCAGGTAGGATGGCCAGGCTCCAGCACCTCATGCTCAGCCTTTGGCTGGGAGCCGCCCAGGGGAGCTGAGCTCAGGAGGCAGATCTGCAGAGGGGCAGGCTAGGGGTTCTCAGTCAATTATACTTCCCACAGTAGGTTCTCCTAAAGAAAATCTGTTGGTACCCTCCATGGCCACCACAATACTGTAGGATTCCATTTATATTAAGCTCAAGGCCAGACAAAACTAAGCAATGGTGGTAGAAGTCAAAATAGTGTTTATCTTAGTGGGAACAGTATTGCCTGGGAAGGGGCACAAGGGACTCTCCTGCGGCACCGGAAATATAGTGGTTACATGGATGTTTACTCGTGTAAACATTTATTAAGCTAACACTTAAGATCTGCACACTTTAAGTTTTTATCTCAATAAAAACTTTAATTTAAAAACATAATATATATACATGAAAACATTTGAACAGTACAAAAGAATATAAACAAATTAAGTAAAAGTATCTTTCTTTTTTTAAAATTGAAGTATAGTCAGTTACAATGTGTCAGTTTCTGGTGTACAGCATAATGTTTCAGTCATACATATACATACATATATTAGTTTTCATATTCATTTTCATTATAGGTTACTACAAGATATTGAATATAGTCCTCTGTGCTATACAGAAGGATTTTAAAAATCTATTTTATACATAGTAGTTAATGTTTGCAAATCTCAAACTCCCAATTTATCCCTTCCCAACCCTCCCCCCACCCCAGTAACCATAAGATTGTTTACTGTGTCTATAAGTCTGTGTTTCTGTTTTGTAGATGAGTTCCTTAGTGTCTTTTTTTTTCTGAAAGTTTCATTTCAAATCCCATAACCTAGCCCCACTTTCTTGAGACGGCCATGTTAACAGTTTTTCTTTTTGTTACTATTATATGTAAAAATGATATTCTTATATTTGTTCTTCATTTATTAATTTTAGATAGCACTTATTGACTCCCCAGTATTAAGGATGAATACTGGGAAAAAAAAGACATTGAACAAGAAGTTCAAAGTAGGAAGAGTGTTATAAAAAAAATACAGGGTACTATGAGACAGAGCGTTTAGTAAGAGGTAACAGGGTGGGCCCCTCTTACATCTGACACTGTCCCGTCCCCTTCCCTCTTCCTTAAACTCTGATGCCAGCCGTGCCAACTATTGGTTTTTTATTTGATCATGTCATGTACTTTTACAAGGATGTGCTTTTTTTTATATATAAGTTACACTCTCCCTCTACCTGCATTACCTTCCTCCAGCTTATCCATCTTTTAAGCTATGGCTCAAATATCACTTCCTCAGTAGTTATCCCAGTTTTCCAAAGAATTTGTTTACTTCTTCCTCTCTATGCCCCATAGCATGTTGAATACATTGCTATTACAGCATTCATCATATTACACTTCAATTATTAATACATATGTGTGTTCCACTGATGTGAAAGTTTCCAGAGAACAAGGCTTAAGTTTTTCTTTTCTTTTCTAGGGCCCAGGAAACATTTGTTTGCTTCAAAAGTGCCTTTGAGTTGGGGGAATTTTGGGAGACACATCTGGAATTTCATGAGGCTGACTCAACCAGTTGTCACATGATTTTTCTTTTTTTTCCCCTGTCCTCTTAGAGTTCCAGCAAGGAACTAGTTGTCTAGGGGGGATTAAACTAACCCAGAAACCTGAGGATCTTATTTGATCTGCTGATTTCCCTCTCTTTTCATTCCACATTTCTGATTTCAGAGTGAAGTTCAATGCATTAATTACATAAGTCTGTAAGGAATTTCCTGCTCCAGAAGCTGAAACTGGTGATAGAGATGGCTTTGAAATGGAGACAGTTGGGATATTCATTATCTGAGCTTGAAAGGATTTGGGAGAGTCCACTAACTCTTACTCATTCTTCAGACCTCTTAGCTCAAGCAAAACCCCCTCTGATAGCTTCTGCATGTCTCTAGTCTGAGTTAGGAAGGAAACCATTTTGGAGAAATGCTAGTTTAGCCACCTTGGGATCGATAACATCCTACATAGTTGGATGCCAACAGGTCTTGAAAAGAGAAAACTACTTTTCAGGTAACAAATTGAGGACTTTATTGATTTTGCTCCTAAGATGGAAGAGAGGGACACTGAAAAGAGAGAATGGAGGAGGAGAGAAGCACAAGCAAGATGGAGAGGCTGAGGCAAGGTGAGGTAGTAAAGACTTCCAGATATGGGACAGGTGAAGAACATTCAAGAATGGTGATGTCAATCTTGTTTCTGGTAATCGCAAGCTAGGTTATTTATTATCCCTGGTAAATATATGGTTACATCTAAATGAACAGGAATTGTATATAAATATAGTAAAATAGTATTAGTATCTTGTGGGGTTAAATACATGGTAATGTAATAAAATAATATAATGAATTTAAAGTGTTCTAAAGGATTATATTTTGTCTGGGAAAAGATAAAAGATATTGCTTAATTTTAGACTTTAATTTTATGTATGCTATAATTTTAAGGTAACCATCAAAAGAATAGAAACAAACTGGGGGGGGGGAATGGAATGATAAAAAGATTATCAACAAAAAGTCTACAAGAAACAAGAGAAAGAGAAACCTAGAACAGGTGAGACAAATAAAAAGTGCAAAAGAAAACAGTGGAATGAAATCTGAATGTTTTAGAAACTACATTACATGTACAGGGCTAAATGAACCAGCAAAAATAAAATACTGCCAGAATGGGTAAATTTATCTATTTGCTGTTTATGAGACATATCTGAATAGCATAAGGATATAAAATATTGAAAATAAAGCAATGGAAAAATATTTGATATGTAAATAGTAACCAAAAGGAAACTGGTGTTGATGTATTAATATTAGGCAAAATAAACTTGAGGCATAAAACATTATTAGTGACAAAGAAGGTCACTTCACAATGATAAAAGTTTCAATTTACCAGGAAGATACAACAACTTTAAACTGTTATGCACATAAGAACATAATCTCAAAATATAGAAAGCAAACATTGACAGATTAGAAGACAATATAGTCAAGTACACAACCATAGTGAAGATTTTACCAAACTTCTCTTTGTAATTTATAGAATAAATAGCTAAGAATGTCAGTAATATGGATGATTTGAACAACATGATTAACAAACTTGAACTGATGGATGTTTTTAGAAAGTTATACTGAACTGTAACTGAAGAATATACACCTGGAACATTTATAAACATTGTCCATGTGTTGAGGCATAAAAGAAGTTTCAACATGTTTAAAGGATTGAAATCATATATAGCATCTTCTCTGATCAGTCAAATTAAGCTAGAAATCAATAACAAAAACATTATTAGATATCACAATGTTAGGAAAGTAAGGCACACATTTTTAAATAACTTAAGGGTCAAGGAAGAAATATTCATGGAAATTAGAAAAAATTTTAGCAATAAAAATATACATGTCAAACTTGTGAGATTAACCTAAAGCCATTTTTTAGAGGAAAAATATGTATCACCTTAATTGTTTAAATATCTATGTCAAGAAGCTAGAAAAAATGTTAGCAAAATAAATCCAAATAGATGGAAAGAAAATTAAAAAGGAGCACAGTAAATAAAATAGGAAACAAATAGTAAAGAAGTTCAATAAAGACAGACATTGGATCTGAGAAGAATAATAAGGAGAAAACGAAAGGGAGAAGAAGCACATATAATCAATTTCAAAAATGAACAGGGGACAGTACTATAGATGCTGTAGGCATTAAAAGGATAAAAGGATATTAGAACAACATTATGCCAATAAATTTAAGATTTTAGATGAAATGAGAACTCTCCTAGAAAAGTACAACTTGCTGAAAAATGTGAAAAACCCTGTAACCAGAAAGGATATTATATCAACAGTAAAAATCTTCCCACAAAGAAAATTCCAAGCCCAGATGGCTTCTCCAGTAAATTCAGTTAAGCAT